TCGAAACTATCGAATTGTTGGGTTGGCAATTAAGTGATTGCGGATTTTCTCAATACCACCTATTGACAAAATCCGCGATCACTCAGTTTCCAACCCAATACAACGATTACAAAAATAAGGGAAAACTTGTGCATCGACGTGGTCCAAGTTCGTGGGAAAGAGAGATACCTTCTCGTCGCAAGGAAAACTCGATGTTCCATTCGCTTAACGCGGCTTACCATCGTACGAACGTTGCTCGCGAATCTGGCGAACGTGGCCTGGAAAATTTGCGAACGCGGTCAGCCAGTTTCGGTGTTTCTCCCGAATCGTCGTTCGAACGCCGCACTGTGCGAGCGTGTTTTCCCATCGATCGGTAGGTTTCCGGTCAATTTGCGTCCTTGCCGGGTTAACGGACTCGAATCCTTGGAAGGACTGTACGTGTACGACCGAGCGTTCACGGGACAAGGTTTTTTCCCATCGGTTGGCCGTCTTTATCCTGAAATCTGCCGCGTTTGCCAGACTAACACCTTGCGGCTCCTTTCGTCATGCGCCCTAGTTGCTCGTTGGCGCAGGGCACGCGCCGTGCCAGGGGCCCCTTTCACAGGGGTAGATCCCAGTGCAAGATGGATATCGCTAATTGTCTCAAGGCGATTCGTCCCGAGCAACGACCGTTGCATTCTGATACGTTCCCCTCCATTTTCCCCGTACGATCAACCATGGGTCGTACGCTACTTAATTAAGTTAATTAAACGAATTGAAACGTACTGGAATTTTGATTGTCGAAAGATGGCAAGAGGAATACTACGTTCGTTTTTACTAACTCGCAGCGTTATTTCAGAAACATCTTAGAATGGGTCGTGTGGTTCGTTCGATGCGTACGTACGTTGTATGCTATTCGTGGAATATGGAAAATACAGTATGCGACATGTGGACAGAGGAAACATTGAAAAGAGGCGTGATGTTACGAAATTGAATTATGACAGTCGAAAATGACGAATGTACGATACGAATCAGACGATCGATCCTGGAAAATCGAGTTTATTTTGGGAATAATTAAATTAAATACAATAACAGTTAGTAACAAATCTGCGGCAAATTTTACTTGGAAAATAGAAAATCGATTTTCTAAGTTCTAAATTACTGTTCTTTTCTCGCGATCTGTTCTACTCAGCAAATGACTGCCGGTAAAATAAAACGAAAGTAAAAATGTCGGTTGGCAGGTAGTTTGAATTCTATAGAATTTACTTGTATATATTAGAATAGACGGTTATGTTTCGATATGTTTAGTACGGAAGAAAAAACAGACGAAGAAGTCGCACCAGATGCATTTTCGAATATATATAAAAAATCATCGCTATCTTTTTCTCGTCGCTTTTCGATTTTCATGTTACCGGGTTAACCAGAAGAGAACAAGTAACAGTTACCAGACTAATCGTAAGAATCGGTCGCATAAAACGTACTCCGAAATATTATACTAAATTATTAAATAACTGCTAAAAATAAAGTAGACTATTTGTTACTCTACTGCCGGAAATATAATGATCAACGCTGTTTCCTGCAAGATAGACCAATAAGTAGAGCAATTTGTCAAGTTTACTTTCAAAAATCCTTTACGGGGTGCGTAGTTAAAATCGAGCAATGACGAGTATGCACATGGAATGCAGTTAATTGGTTAAGGGACAGCCTCCTAGATATAATTAATGTAATGTCAAAAATAATATAAAATAGTATAGTCGTCGACGACCAAGCAATTAACGCGATTTAAATACCAAAGGAAGAGACAAAAAGATTTGATTTGATACGAAAGTTACGCATGTAACTACGCAAGTATCGATTACAAATCTTTTTTCGTCCACGGCGTATTCCATGGGATTAGAAAGACGGTACAATGTACGATACGCGACGACTATCAACTAGAAACCAAAGACTATACAAGACTATACAACGATCTACAAAGTGTATATCGTACAACTGTCCACAATAGTCAACGAGTAGATATCGTATTACAGGAAGATTATTAGAAAGACGGTGCAATGTACGATATGCGACGACTATCAACTAGAAACCAAAGACTATATAACGATCTACAAAGTGTATATTGTACAACTGTCCACAATAGTCGGCGTGTAGATATCATATTACAAGAAGATTATTAGAAAGACGGTACAATGTACGATACGCGACGACTATCAACTAGAAACCAAAGACTATACAAGAGTATACAATAGTGTACACAGTGTATATCGTACAACTGTCCACAGTAGTCAGCGTGTAGATATCATATTACAAGAAGATTATTCGAAAGACGGTGCAATGTACGATACGCGACGACTATCAATTAAAAATCAAAGACTATACAAGAGCATACAACAATCTACAAAGTGTATATCGTACAACTGTCCACAATACTCAGCGTGTAGATTTCATACTACAAAGGAATTCTCCGAAATGCTGTCGATAACCAAAGAAGAGCAAGCGAAAGCAATACGCTAAATTTTACGAGCAATGTTAAAAATAAAAATGATTTTTCTGCTTGGACGAGTAGACTCGAGGATGTTTAGAACGTAAGAGTAGAAAATAAGAAAAATCTCTGTGCTCATGGAAATAAGATCGCAATAGGTGAAAACCGACAAGCAACTGTTACTATTGTTATTATTGTTATTATATAATTTTCTTTTGTTCGTCACCATAGATAATTGTTCCTGGAGGAATTTCAGCGTTTACGTCATCGCTGTACGTAAGTATACCGATACAAAAAGCCATAGATATTCGTCTCTACTAATTTTTAACGTTATTTCAGATATCTTTTAGATAGTAGGATTTATTCTATGTATTTTAAATATGTTGTACATTATTCGTTGAATATTCAACACAGGTGTAATTGCTCCCGGAGGAATTTGAACGCTTGAAACGTCGCGACGACTCATCGACGCGCGTAAATACACTCGCTCCTCTTCGTCTTCGCTTCTTTTACGATTATTTTCTATTTGCAGCGACAAACAAGATTCACATATTACGCGTGCTTATTGTATTTCCTTCAGCAAGAAGACATCTGTCGTCCGATCGATGCAAAGAAGCGAAGCAGCGAAACTTTCTATCCTCCAAATTGTAAATGGTAAAAAGGGCGGAAAATTGGAAATTCGAAGTAAATTATCACCGTGGAATCCACTCTGCCAGTTTTAGATCGGCGTTCGAAATTCTTTACGAATAATAAAAGATGTTTCCTCGTTGTCATCTGTACGCTTCGATGCGATTTTAAATGCATTTCTCGACTTTTTAATCGTTTTGAAATGTAACGAATTATGCTTTGCAAAACACAATAAAATAAGGAAAATTACTTATAATTTATCGTAATACAAAGTACGGCGCTTCGCCATGAACAAGTCGTCGATTAAAAGAAAATTACCGAACCTTCTCCATCAGCCCAGATAATTTTGTATACGATAAACCTATGTCGAACACGTTCCTCGCAAATTCTACATATTCTCCGTGTATATTTGCATATTTTATAAACATCCGCGGTCTAATCACCAGTGTCCCCATAGCGGAGCCAATAGAACGCAAAGGGCTGATAAGAGTCACCGTATTACGTTGCTCTCTCGCGATCTTCGCTCGCAAACAATTTGCCAATTTTTCTGCGTTTATGGCAAAGCCCGAAGGCACAGAAACGCGCATTCCGCGTTCAAAAATATAAAAAAATATTCGAAGTGGAATATACATTACAACACTACTTCTATTGCTCGCGTATTGCACGTTGCACGACCGCGAGTTCGTCCAAATCCAAAAGGAAATATGCAACTAAGAAGTGGAACTGAACTACCGGAATATGCAAATAAGAAGATAAGTATCGTGCAATAATTAAAAAATATACCACGATATTTAACAAACGAGACGAATTTCTATTCGGATTTCGTTTAAAAATATAGTAAACGCGCTCGTATAGAAATAGAATAATATAAAGGTGGAAATAAAAATCCACGAAATCCGCAGTTCAGTTGCAAGTTTCTGCGACGTTTGCTCTTTAAACTCTCGCCGCGGATCACGCAGCACCGAGCGAAATTTCAATCAACAGGTACGCTCGCTCCTCGCGTGCCTGTTATCTAAATCAACAGGTTACCTCTTCCGTCGTCCTTTGGCAAGCGTTTAGCTGCCGTGTTATACGGCGGACCGATAAAGGGCTCGGACACAGGAAAGAAGAGAAGGAAAAAGGCGAGCACGACGAGCGCGGGTCGTGGTGGTGGGTTTCTGCGGGGTAAAACGGTGCCGGCGAAGACAAGGAGAGGGTAGATGCAGAAGGAGCCAGAACGGGCCACCAGGTGCACCTACAGAATGGACATAAAACGAAGTGGGAACCATATGTTGATGCGGTGAAGGACGCCACGGCACGCGCCACACTCAAACTCCAGCTTTTACGTCGCGAGCATCGCTCACTCCTCTCGATTGTTGACACCGCTGCTGTTGCTCGATGAAACGACGAAACGATCCCGGTGCTTCGCGTACTTGGCGTGTTTTTAGAATCGCTGCAAGTACAGGAAAATACGAGGGCCGATGGTCGACGATCGACGCTGACTTTTCGATCGACAACCACGCGTTATTTTAAACGATGACTTTAACGTCTGCTGCCATACGACGGAACATTGCCGAAGGTGGATGACCGAAAAGATATTCGTCGAAGCTTGGTATTTCGTTACGAGTGAAACGGAAGTTAAACTGTGGTTCAGTTTAGTCGAATCTTGATGGGTAATTGCAACGAACGTTGTTGATTCGACACGATCGAATCTCGTAACATGTGAAACCGGCGCACTATCCAGACTGTTCTGTGATCGCGGTGCAAATATATCGCCAACGTGGAAACCTTGTCGATTAGTATTTTCACGAAGCAAAGTAAAAGTGTTTTCATAAGGTGGAAAGTAATTGGAAGAAGAAGATCGGTCATCGATCGCCATAAGGATTCTACAGAGACTAGGAATTCTTCAGATTCGCCGCTGTTGAGAGGAAAGCGCCGCGTGGAAATTCGACCCGATGGAACAGCAAAGAATTTCATCAAGATCGTCTTTCGAATTGTCGAGATTTCGCGTTTGTGTTGAGAATTAATCTATTTTAATGAGATATCGTTGGAAAGTAGCCAAGTGAGGAAAAGGATGGCTCTACTGTCGAACCACCACGAATATCCAGTTTCTACTGAGATCGTAACAACTACGTACCCGACGACGACCAGGACTTACGACACTTTGTATCCGTCGCCGTACAATTCCCCGAATTACGACTCTATCAAGGTCGCGTATAGTGAGAATTACGCGCACAAAGGTGAGATCACCCCGCAAAAAGGAGCAGAGACGGTCAGTTATGGGAAAGAGGTAGTTGCGAAATATTCCAGAACGCCGGATTCGTACGAAAGAAGCTCGTTTAGCGTTCTGACACCTGTAACGCCTCAAAGGTAAGTTGATATTTTCGCTTCGAGTCCTGCGAATATTTCTCGCCGACTCGTCTTCACGATACATCTCCGCTAGTTGCGAATCAACGCTTTCGTGTATCTGTCGCTTGTGCGAAATCGCGTATTATCGTAGCTTTGTACAAACCAAATAGCGGTATACGTTTATGTAAAACGAAAGTTGTATATAATTGTTTGAACGGAATTCAGTCGAAGTTGAAGTTTCCTACAGTGGTTTCTATTTCGACAGATATCGAGGGAAATTTCATTCGAACAGGTTTGGTAAGTAAGTGATTTTCCTCGTCGTGTAGCTGCCTAGTTTCGGCATGTGTTCTATCGATAATCCAACAACGACTTTATTGTAATCGAACAGCATGACACGAACGTTTAATACGGTTGTTCTATCGCACTTAATTCGTAAAATATAATCAATGTATATAATTATGATTATATACAATTATAAACGTTAGACAAGTGTGGAGATCATCGCGAACGATCTGCTTTTGCTTGGTTCGAGCGTGAAATGATATTAAGATAATTGCCAGTTTTGAAATCGTAACACTAACGTTGTTAGCGCAACGACTATCGAAATGACTAAATCGTAAAAACGATCTCGATGGTCTGTTACAACGCATGTGTATTTTACACGATATCAATACAGCTGGAGAATAAACGATACGAGGTAAATAATCGAAATAGCTATAGTAGTAACGTATATGAGAAGGATGTACAGCAGCATTTTCCTTGCGAATGCGACTCGTTACGTGTTAATCGCGTGGCTTGAATGATCACATTATAATCGATATAATTTTGATAGGTACGAGCCGCAGCACGCGATAAATCACACCGCCTCTCCGGGAACGATGCTGCACGAGGACAGTTCCGTGGAGTATCATCCGCCAGCCTATTGCTACGAAACTCCGCCTCAAGAACAAAAATTTCAGAGCCTCGAGGCCGGCAAGCCGATGCAGATGATGGTCGAGCAAAGAAGCAATTGTTGGGAACCTGTTACATCGGCGCAGGTAAATCTCAATGGATCGTAGTTTTTAATTGAGAAGATCTCGCGACTTTGTTTCTGAAAGAAAATGACATAAACTTGAGTTGAACTGACGTGGCTATTAAAGGGGTGTCCTGAATTAGAATGTTCTAAAACAGCGTCTTTTCGTGATTTTTTTTAGAAGGGAAGCAGAGAAATGAAGTTATTGAATTTTGAGGTATGGTTTTATATATGTTTAACGAATGCAAACAAATTTTTTTTTAAAGTAAAAAAAGAAATTGTAACGGATTTCTGAGCCTATTTCATGGACTGCAGTTTTCAATCGGTGGGAAAGATCCACCTCGTAATTGTTGACCGAAAGAAAAAACCAAAAAAGGATTAAATTATTATATACTTTTCTTCTCGATAAACTAAAAAAAAAGGCAGAAAATAGTGTGAAATTAAAAGTTTTGACGGGTTTAAAGAAAACATGTGTTTTATAAAAAGAAAAAATAAACGTTAAAGTGCTGTATCAATTATTTAAAAATACTTTTTGACGAACTTTTTTAGTTCATCGAGAAGAAAAATATATAATAATTTAATCCTTTTTTGATTTTTTCTTTCGGTCAAGAATTACGAGGTGGATCCTTCCAGCCGATTGAAAACTGCAGCCCATGAAATAGGCTTAGAAATCTGTTACAATTTTTTATTTTACTTTAAAAAAAATTTTCTCCTGTCGAGATAGACACCGTGACATTTCATAGACTTGATTTCACGTTTGTACGAAGATGCACTGTTTTAAAAAACACGTTTTGCGAAAGAAAAACACTTTCCGGACAACCTAATATATACATATCCATTTTGTTCTATTATTACAAATAGTGCACAAATGTGGTGCATCTATCGTTTGCTTACAAAACGAAAGAAACTTTGGGAACAACCTAATACATTTTTAAAATATCAAATATCTTGGAATTTCTATTGGGTTGGCAACTAAGTCATTAAGTGATAATGACAAAATCCGCAATCACTTAATTGCCAACCCAACATGTGCGTTATCTAATTAGCTTCAAATTTGATGAACAACGTGGTATCTCGTTAGAGTGGGAATCAAATTTCCAAATTTTCTTGGCAAGCGGTTTGCACGGTCACGGCTCCAAATTTTTCTATCAGATGTTAATTTCGATTCGCGTGACAGGAGCCTACGTTCGGACAAGCGAATTCAACCGGGTATTTATCGAAATTTACATGGCAGATTCGCGAAATCTCGTTTCAAACGCACGGTGTTCGAACACGTAAACGACGTAACTAATCTGAACGAAGCTTCGTCTCGATACATCGACCTGTCGGATCGACGCGAGAGGCGAATAAAGGTTAACGAATGAACTGTCACGAATGAACGATTTACATTGACGCAAGATGTGTAAATTGGTTTTGTAGAAACAAGTGTCGCCTACCAGCAGCCCTCGCAGAGGAAGACGACGCTCCAGGGACATTCCGCCATCGCCAAGCGTGTTGAAGCGCCGGCGTTTGGCCGCGAATGCGCGCGAAAGACGTCGAATGAACGGTTTGAACGATGCTTTTGATAAATTACGCGAAGTTGTACCGAGCCTTGGGGCGGATCACAAGCTCAGTAAATTCGAGACGTTGCAAATGGCGCAGACCTACATCGCCGCGCTCTGTGACCTCCTTCAGAGACACGATGGCAAGTGGCAGTGAAAAAGGAACAACTGCGAAAGGCCAACGTTCCAGTATCTACGTTCTACGTATGTAAACTATCGCTTACAAGTATTTAGAAATGTATTTAGAAAAATATTTTCGAGCCTGGCGATTCCAATGTTGCGTTAACTTGGTGTTAACTAATTGGCAAGGAAATTGCAAATAAAACTGTAATCGTATCGAGTAATAATCGTTATAACTTTGTAAAATGTACAAGTAATCTTTCTGACAATGTGTTTAGATTTTTAAGTCTGCAGGGCAATATTTATTCCATTGATATGTGTTGTGTGTATTGCGTTCTTAATTAATTTGCATGTAATTCGTACTTTTTATTCGTGGATCGTACACGACTACGATCACAGACGGCTAATAGTCCAAAGATATATTAGATAACATTTAAAAACGATTTAATAATAATTTCATTATATACAGGGTGGTTGGTAATTGGTGGTACAAGCGGAAAGGGGGTGATTCTACGCGAAAAAAGAAGTCGAAAATGTAGAATAAAAAACTTTTTTTTAAATTTTTCCATCGAGACAACGATCTACAGTGAGATCCGTTATAACGAGACGCGATAAAGTGCACGCGTACCGAGCGAAAATTCAAAGTCGATTTTCTCGAAAACAAAGCCTGGAATGAAATATTTTTATTCTATATTTTCGACTTCCTTTTTCGCGTAGAATCACCCCCTTTCCGCTTGTACCACCAATTACCAACCACCCTGTATATAATGAAATTATTATTAAATCGTTTTTAAATGTCTACGTATTATCGTAATCTATTTATATTATTGCTGTTGCGATACATATTTCGTATCACTGCTAATTTTCTGCTACGTATGTAGAATTTAACATAGAATTTCATTCGTTTAATGTAAATTTATTCAATGTTTTAGCCGATAAAACGCGCCAGAAATGATAGAAATAGTGGGAAAGCGTAATTGAAGGAGTAATAGGATAATTTAAAAGATCGGTGCCATTATTGTAATACCTAAATAAATACTAATTTCATAGACATCGTAAACATATTGTATTTATAATAAAAATTAACGCGAGATCGTAATAATTATTTATCGTTTAAGAAGCTTTCTAAATTTTTACTTATCACGTTTTAGATTCGTAACTAGTACCATGCTCTTCTGTTTCGATTTATTAGGTTGTCCGAAAAGCGTCTTTCTTTCACAAACATGCTTTTCACAACAGTGCACCTTTATACAAACTAAGTCTGCGAAATGTCGCGGTGTTTAGAATAAAATGGATCGTACGTAATTTGACAAAATAATATAAAACAAAAAACTGTTGTACGTGTATTATTTCCTCATAGAACGAAAGAAACTTTACGGACAACCTAATAGTTTATGAACTAACGTTCAAGAGCAACGCCAGTGACTCGTGCGTTTATTGTATATTTATGTATTTATTGTGTAGCTAGTCAGGAATTGGAAAAATGCGATTTCGACATTTATCGAGCTAGGAACAATAATATTTCGTACCGTCCATTTGATAGAATAAGTAATTCACGAAGCCAAAGAAGAATTGTCGAACGACGCGAAGATTCGAGGACGTCGAATAACCGTAAGTGATAATTTCTAGATTAAGTCGTTTAAAAGAAGATTCGTGTGAATATTATATCAATATGTTATGGGAAATTTATATCGATGTAAACTATTGTAAATAAAATACCCGAAGATTCGAACGAAAGATTTTCTCGTGTCTTGAAAATTTCCAAAGTAAATTAAAAACGACAATGTCTCGTAAGTCATTACGCATTACCCTGGTCCATCCAAATTTTTCCAAACCGAAGAACTGGCAGCTGTTTTCAAAGGCAAAACGATCAAACTTGTCGATCATCTCGAAAGCGGAAAACCAGAAGAATAAATTTCGAGGCTTTGATGAATTAATCTTCAATGGGAAACTTTCAAAATCGTCAGTTTAATAGACTAACGATGAATTAGTAAATTTGTATATCTATGGAATACGTGTAATTGCGCACGCTAATAACTTGCCAGGGAATCTAACGATAAATAATCATTAAACGAATAAATAAAATTTTATCGTTCACGCTTATTCATCGTGAAATGAACGTAAACGATGTTTTGCATCTGATTAATAGAAGATGGCTGTTTTAATAACATGTTTAATATAACATAGCGTTATTACTACGTATAAGATAAGAATAGCGAGAAAACTAAGCAGAAAGACGGAAATCTTTTGCGATTCATAAGGAAAACGATAAAGATATTATCCACAGAATTTCCAAAGTAACGTTAAGCAGGTTGCCCTGTCGAAGTCTTGGAATTTCGTTCGTAAGAAATTAAAAAGGAACGTTGGTTGGCGATGGAACGGATAGAAAAGGATGACAGTGATCGGCAATCCTTTTCCATGCGGCAGATTGGCGAGATTGAAAGAAAAAAAATGTCTGTTTGGAGGTGCGTGGGCGGACAGCGGCACGTGCCGCACAATAGAACTCGTTAGCAGTTTTGCATCGATTCTCTCGTTTCTCTTTTTCTCCAAACGAAGATCCACCTTTCTGTAATAAATAGGCATTCCTTCCAATCTTACATACTCGATGATTAGAGATCATTAATTATTCGGATGGGCACGTGCCACGACTCATATGCTTCGCCAAGGCTAAAACGAAATCGCGAGATTCCTGGAAATACATGGAATTTAGTAAAATTCACACTAAAATGTTGGTCGAGTAGAAATAAATTGAGAAAAATAATTTGTTCGTAGCACGTGCACGATTCACTCTGATATAATTTTCGTAGAGGATTTGAGTAGAGGATGGTTGATCGTGAGATTTCTTAGACGAGATTGCTCGTTGTTGAAACCGCCAAGTATATTTAAAATGTTAAATAAATAAATACAGTCACCGTTCGTAAAGACAGTGTACAAGTTGCAAAATAAACTCGTTGATAACTGATCGATACTCGGTAGATACTCGTTGGTAATTAAAATCTTTTCGGCTGCGTTTTATTTATTATTACATTACGTGTTTCCTAACGTGTTCCTGATATATCGAGGCAAAACAACAACATGAATCGTATTGTTTTCTAGCTCATGCGCCGCTGCAATTCACTTGGTTCATCTTCCACTTTTTCATGATTCCGGATCGATTAACGAGTGATCTGTTACGAGCGATTATTACGTCGACAGTGGATTTTACATTGAAATTTTTAATCATTTACCTTTTACGAATAGAAACTGCGATCGTCTCACCGAATACGTACATCGTCCTGCTCGTGTATTTTCGATTTTCTCAAAAATTGCAACCGGCAAAAGCATATAAACCTACGTGTAAGAGACATTTCAATCAATCTTGGAAAATCGATCGTTCAATTAAATCAAAATTGCAACTGTTAAAACTGTTTACGTAAACCGATATTCTCAAAAGTCGTAAAGCTCGATCTAATAAGCTCGAGTGAGTTTGCTGGTCGCTTATTACAGTCTTTGATACGTTGAATTAAAAACAAAGTTGAAAATAAATTATATTTATTCGCGATTTTATTTATCACCTTCCCTCGGAGTTACGCGAATCGAACAAATAACAAAATCGTATGAGCAAAACGCGTATGTACCAACTTCTACATGGAATTAATATCGATAAGCATGATGATAAAAAGGAGATGGAACAAAAGGCGAATCAGCATCAGCAGAGGTATCTTATTTTCACGAGATCTTCGATATAAAAGCGTGAAAGTGTAAGAGCGAAGAAACACGCGTAAAAGTGTAAGAGCGAAGAAACACGCGTGCGTATCCTTTTTTCTGTCGATGAAGATTTCGTGGAAATTCGACTCGCTGTCAAAAGGACGTACGCCTGGACGTTGCGTGTAATCGAATTAGCGACGCGAACGAAGAGTGACAAAAGAGTACAATCGTGAAATTTCTGAAAAAGACAACACGTTTCAGTTGCAAGCTGAACGCTGAAACGATGTTCGTCTGACAACTGAAACGTGTGTTTGGTTTAATGGAGCACGCGGGGAAAGAACAGAGCAGAGAATTCACGAGACGAATTTGACCGAGCTGAGAGCTGGAGTTAGGGCGTGACCAAAAGTGGTCGACTTTTCGAAATTGCTATTTCAGGTAAAATTCGTGCCGCTTACGATCTTTCACGCTGGTTTATTCGACGATACAAAACAGCAATTTTCGCACTTCTCTCGTTCACTCTTTGGCGCGTAATCCGATTGTAGTTTTTCGTCTGCGTAAAATTCGGTGTGAGAATATGGAAAATATTATTCCAAGTAATCAAATTATTCTTTTATCTAATCGATCAACACTTTTCGTTAGGAAAGTGAGGGTAACAATGCTCATTGATTATGACCCACGTTAATGAATGAAAATAGGCGGAGGAAGCTCATGGCTGCTATCGTTCATGGAAAACCCAAGCTTTTCCCGTTAAATAAGTACCCGCTTTCTCTATCATTTTCAAGAACGAATAATAAACCTAAGGACTGTTCTAAGGACCACTCGTAAATCGAATATCCTTGCAATTTCGTTATAAAGATCCTGTTTATGGTGGTTCTCTAGATTTATTAAGGTGCCTGGGCCTTTGACGGTCAGACAATGAACGACGTCACACGGATCATTACGAACGCGACGTAATAAAGCTTCTCGTATAATAAATATTGCGATTTGAACAGCAATACGTGCTTATTCCAGATAACTTTTCAATTGGACGTTGTTTCAAATGTTTTAACATTACGAAAAAATATTATTAAGAATATTTATTACATGCGAGGATGTCGTTACGTCCTTTCCAAATCTCAATGTATCGGCAACCTCTGGGCAGAGCTGTAAATTACAACGTTGAAATAGTTGGACAGCAATTTGGTCATAGAGGGAAAACAACAACGAAAGGGCGGTTTCAGAGTTAAACTCGCGCGCGACCGACGATTCTTTGGCAGAAATTACACCCTAATTGCTGTGACGTGTTGCTCGATAACGAGCCATAGCCACGGTTCTAAGTGCACGGCATCCTAAAGGAAGAACGATTCGTTCCAGGTTTGCGAGATCGAGCGTACCATTGAGAATTTTGTGACACCTCGCTACCCTTATGGTGTCAAAGCCAGCACCCTCTATGGAATTACGATCCCAGCCACCTGACTCCGTGTCGAAAGATTTTGCCACCGCTCTCTTTCTCTCTCACTTTTCGACCGCAAAACTCGTTAACCCTTTTCGTGATGAAAACTCTCGTTGACCTAACCCGCAAGGAACTGGAACCCATAGGATAGTTTGTATTGGAAAAACCTAGTCTGACCCGGCTTCAGAGAAATAACACGGTCGAAATTCGTCTCGAGTACTCCCATGGCGCCGTGTTTCTTAGTTTTTTTTTTTTTCGGAATCCATTGTGTTTG